TGAAAAATTCAGTTTTGTGGTGTAATTGTATTGAAAAAGGTTTGTTTTATATCCGAGTCACAGTTTGTGTCCTTTTCTACAAATACAGCTCCCCCTCCTTCGGCTGTTTTTTGTGAAGTTAAACCATTAAAACTAGCGAAACTATTTTTTAGTTTTCGATGATATCTTTTCCATTTTTGGCCTTAATGCCTTTTTTGTAAAATTGGTTTCAAGAGTATTGTTTCAGTACCTGAACGAGAAACATGGCTTGGACTTTCGATGTCTGCGTCTGCCTGGAATCATCTCTGCTGATACGCAGCCCGGCGGGGGTACGACAGGTAAGATTGAAGGTTTTCTAATTTCGGCATTTAATGTGTGTAGTGTCATCTTAAATGCATTTTTATGTTAAATATTCTATCTGGATTTAACTAAAATTAAGTGCAGTTGTACGTTTAATAAATTGCTCCAGATCTGAAGATGTCGTGCTTTAACAATCCTCAGCAGAGCAACGCGTTTTCAATTACGTAGCTACAAAACGACAACTGACAACAGTGTAATTATTTAAAGTTGCAAATATTTGTCCATTAAACCGGTTTCGAATTATTTCAATGCACAATCGTTTTCCTGCGTGAACTACTATTCATTTTAGTTGCCTTGATATGGTAGTGTAGCCACATCAGGTGATCGTTTGCATTACTACTATTACAGATTAATCTCAGTGATTTAGTCAGATACCAGTGGCAGTCTTCAGCGGTAATGTCAGTAAACGCAGGTGAATTTCACCGGAAATATAGAATGTCGAAAACAGCTTTAAACTTAATTTATTTAAACACAGCGCAAATAATTTGGTTAATTTGGTTAATAATGCAAACTGCAATCGAATGATAGACTAATAAAGGAATTTCGGCCCATGTTGCATGGGTCTTATTAAAGATAGTGAGGCTGGCTCGCTTTGAATGTTTTTTTGTCGTTCGCAGCGATCCGTACTTTCGGTGCCAGAAGGCGAGCCCCTTAACCGGCAGCAAGGACCAATAGTTCACTTTCTTACTCTGGACCTGCACGCTGTTGCAGACGACGAGAAGGAGTTCCGAAGTTTACTAAGTTCCGTATCTAACGAAGGCCCGTGACACGGACCGAAGCGTCGGTACTTGTGCATTATCCGATTGACCGGAATCTTTGTGTTGTATATAAATAAACCGTAATTTATTCTGTTTTCTGTCTGCCATCAGCGTACGAACCAAATTCTCACCAGTATAGCGTGAGTCTATAAAATCTTAGTATAGCTGTCTAGTGTGCTAACGTAAATACTATTATAATAACATAATAGGTTATCGAGAACTCTTGTTCAGTCAGTGCTCCCTTTTCAAAATGATTATGCAGTATTCCATGATTATGGGCGCATCAGGCGATAGATGGTTTAAGTTTTCACTCTACTGCTAGCTTATAGCCAGGCACCATGGGCTGTCATCAGGGTTAGCATTCTATTGTCGGATTATTTTTCCTGATTAATTTAGTATTTCTAGGTGAAAATCGTGGCAGTAAAATGAATGCATTGCTGTACGTTGCCTTCTGTTGCATTTGAATTTCATTGTGATTTTGCTGCTTAAAATATAGCTGTGTAGAACTAAGTCTTTCAACATAAGTTGTCAAAGTTTATGAAATTACCACTACCTTTAATATGATTAATGAATGGAATGACGAATGTTTTTGCAAGGTTTTGTACCGGCTGATATGCATAGATATTTTGATCTTGTACTACTTTGTTGCGAGAGAAGTTGGTGACTAGCATCGTCGAGGACTATCTTTCATGCAATTTGCAGTGTATGTTTGGTCACAGATGCGATAACTTGCTTTGCCAAACTTTCGCAGCATATCCCACTGATTTGCGGTAAAACGCACAGCTCTCTCCCCCCCCGACGCTTCTTTCGGTTAACGCCAGCTTCCCCTGCCTGGAAAGACGACTGGACATGCAGAGGAAAGCATGGACAAAATGCATGTGCCGATAATTTTGTGATGCTCATGCTGGTACACTGGTGTTTATCAGGCTACGCCTATCATGGGGTTCTTTCCTGATCTTTTTGGCAACACCCACTATGTGAGCTGACCATTTAAGTTTGGATAAAGATCATACCAGTCATACAAGTGAACTCGTACACTGAGGCAGAATCGCACCTATGACGTTTTTGTCGCTTCCCAGTATTCTGCACTAAAAATCGGAATTCGGCTGACTTAGATCTGTTTAAGATGAAACCACTATCAGAAGCCATAATGATCGATGGTATGATTGCATTTTCGTGGGTTGCCATTTTCTGCATCCTTCTAATCGGTGATGTAATGGTTAGCTCATCATCGTATTTTGCACTGATAATCGATTTGCCGGAATAGTACAGATTAAACAGTAGTGAGAAGGGACCGAGCCATGAATAATTGCAAGGTTGTTGCTCTGCTAAGATGAACACTTGTCACTCATTCTGACATACTGTGAGATTGTTGAGAGCAGCCTTTGAACCACGAACACTTTTTGGCATTTGGGGGGAGTAATGCAAGCTTTTCCATCAGTTTCTGTTCGAAGACATAAACATCGAATCCTAGCGATTCGAAATGAAAACGAAGATGTATGAGGTTCTCTTTTACCAGTGATTTATATTTAAAACTGTTGCTATATACCGAATATTTAAAAATTTGTCCTTATTGCCATTCGATTGTATAAATTTTTGATAATTCGTTCCAGTTACGCTGAACGGTTGGGTTCTGTTCTGTTTAGGGGTTCCCGGAACTGTTTTTGCAGACCAAATATTCTCATTCAATTTCCATTTAAATGTAAAACATTTGGCATTTCGCTATATGCTCTTCGTAAGCTGGTTTCGGTCAGCACTCAAAAGTTTTATTTCAATGTTTATTCATGTTTTGTAGAGGAGATGAATCATTTGCCGTAAAGTACGCGCGATCCGCGTTGCGCAACATTCAGAAGATAAGGGGTTTTGTGTGCATTATAACAGCTTTTTCGAAGTTTCAGTACTTTGAACTTGTTCGCGGATAGGTTGTAATAACTTGGACGAAAAAGCATATCACCGTCTGCGATCTGTCACTTGTTGCGAATTGCTTGATCTATGTTTGCGTCGAACAGATTCGCGTTCTGCGTGGTCGATCGACTATCTGTTTTTCGTATCGTTTTCCTCCTACGCGATGAGTCAGAAAATTACGTCGTGACCAACTTCGCAGACTAATGTGGACAGGAAGCGAATGATCGACTGCTCTGGAGGCAAAAACTCTGAAAACCGCTCAACGGTGGCAGCAGGTGGACGAGTGATTGATCTAGAAACTGCTGCTGGATCACCTGAAGCATCGATAGAACGAATGAGGAAACTTGCTTCTCATTTGCACCGTTGTTTCAAATGACAACTATACAATGCATGACTTGTCCAAGACCATAGTTTGCGGCGTTCTCTACCGCCATGTTTTTCTTAGTGGACTGGGCATAGAACGGGTGGGGGCGGGGGCATTTACATAGGCCGTAACTCCATGGTCTTTAAGCACGCCCCCTGCCTGTTGCATCTCGCGTCATTTTGTTCTCTGTGCTATCTTGCGCATACTACGAACGATGTACAGGAGCTTGTACTCCTTACATGTTAATGCATACACGCTAAAGTATGCAGAATATGTCAGATAACGAGTGGCTTCTTCAAGGTCATTTGCCTAATGGACCATTTATGACATCTAACTTTACTGAACGGACTCACTGCCTGTGAACGGCAGAAGCAACAACCGTAATTTCTTAATTCTTTTCGTTTCAAAAATCTTGCAATGTTCGTTGACACGCTGTCGAAAGGATCCAGGGGATCCAGCTTGAGTCTGCCACTATAATTTAGCCATTTGCCTTTCGGCCACAGAATTATTCTCGTTACTCAGTATGATCGAGTGTCAAGTGTTTTCCATTGTGTGAATCTGACTTTAAGTCTAACGATAGACTGAGTGTTAATTACTTGGTTTTTAGTCAGAGTTGGTACCCTTCTACTTCGATCTGGTTGTAGGCATATTCGCAGCCTCAGATAATCCCCGCTCCGGGTTGAGTCTTGGATAGTGGTCGAGCTGGATAGTGGCCATTGGCATTTTGGCACTGAGATGAGATCAGGTACATGCACCATGCAACGTTTCCTGGTTTGTCGGCATATTCCACTGAAGACTAAAGGCCGCGGATTCCGCTAGCACTTTCTGAAAACAGCCTATCGCCAATCTCGATTGCCTGTCAACCGTTGCTTTTGTTTTTGTACCCGCGGCATTTTTACCAGCGTCACAGCAGAATGCTGAAAATGTGATCGCTCCGTCTTTTTTGCTTAGCTTTTTCCTTTGCTTTTTGTTTTGCTACTCTTGTAATTGCTTTCATGCTGCTGCAGCTGCTGTCCAGAACTTCAGATTGGAACTTATGCGGGTACCAAGCTTGTGGGACTGCGTAAATGGATTTTATTAATCGGTGAGTTGTCATACTCTTGTTATAAACAGTACTGATCAGTGAATAGATATCATCATTAACGACTTGAGTAAAGTTATATTCATTAACTTGTTCGCTACTGTGCCAAAATGTCGAGCAAAATTTTGGGTTATTTAGTCCTTGTTATGTTATCGGCGGTGGTAATGAAACGCGTCGAGTTTTATTAAATTTTTCCATCTGTTTTACACTCGGGTTTCATAACCATCCATTGAGCAAACAACCTGTTGATGAATTATGAGTTAAGAGTGAAAGCCACTTTCAAAAAATTTCAGATTTATTAATCATAATTATCTATGAAAGATAGTTGAGAAGCTCTTGAGTAGAACGGCCTTCGACTCAGCAAAGACGAATCAGACTATATGGAAATTACTTCAGTGGGGAAAACAGGTTGAAAGCCGTCAAACCAGTGAAGGTAGCGGGAAGCACGCTGCCTCACACCCAAGAATTCAGCTACGTTGATTCCATTACGGAAAACGACGGCGAGGTAAGAAATCGATCGAATAAAGCTTTGCTCGAATGGAGAGAAGTGAGCGGAGTGCTGTGCGACAAGAAGATGCCCGCCAGACGAAAGAGGTGTACAGAACGATAGTAAGACCGGTACTTCTATATGGAGATGAATGTTTGGCTACTCTTAAGAGACAAGAGCAGTAGGTGAACTCGGCAGAAATGCGAATGCTCAGATGGGCGTATGGTGTCAGCAGAAAGGACGACATCGGAAACAACTTCATAAGAAGCAGTCTAGGCGTAGCACTAAACATACATTTTCCGTTGGTTCGGTCACGTGAAAAGAAGACCTATCGAGTACGTTGGAAATGTGGTCCAAGCAGTGGTACTTCAGGGAGGACTGAAAAACGTAGTACGATGTCGTCAAGAACGATATGAAACTGCGAGGAGTCTCCGAAAATAGAGCGAACGACAGA